GAGGAGGCCATGAAGATGATCTGAAGGCTGGAGCACCTCTCCTATGAAGACAGGCTGAAAGTGCTGGGATTGTTCAGTATGGAGAAGAGAAGGCTCAGGGGAGACTTCACTGAGGCCTTCTAGTACTGGAAGGGGGCTTCTAAAAAAGAGAGAGAGTGCAACTTTTTACATGGATAGATAGTGATAGGACAAGGGGGAACAGTTTTAAACTGACAGAAGGCAGGTTTAAATTAGATGTTAGGAAGAAATTATTTACTCAGAGGGTGGTGAGGCACTGGAATAGGTTGCCCAGAGTGGCTGTGGATGCCCCATTCCTGGAAGTGTTCAAGGCCAAGTTGGATGGGGCCTTGAGCAATCTGATCTAGTGACTGACATCCCTGTCCATGACAGGGGGGTTGGAACTAGATGATCTTTAAGTCCCTTCCTGTGGAATCCTCTGAATCCTTCCCCCTCAGGGAAATCCCCAGAGCCTTGCCTTGGAAGAATTTACTATAGAGTTTTCCCCACCTAGGCAGACAGAAAAGACTTCCCCATGGGTTCTTGCACAACACCATGAATCACTCCAGTTCCTTTTCCCATATGTTCCAAATTCTAGTAGTTTCTCCTTTCCCTGTTTCCTCATTGGTTGTGGTATCCCTGGTGGTCGGCCCCCTCTTCCCTGTAGGCCAATGGCCTTTGCCCTGCCCCTTGTACCACCCCCCTGCCCTCCCATACTTAACCTTGTGGAGCCCACATGGTCTCGTCTTTTGTCTCTGGTTTCCCTTCCGCGTGTTGCAATAAACCTTTGCTGGAACTGACCATACAAAAAGCCCTTCTGCCTCTCTTCGCCGAGCTAGCCATGTGTCATAGTTTGACCTGGGAAGAATTTAGGGAAGTGATGCAAAAGCTTTGTGTGTAACTGACAGTCTGTTGAACCACTGAGAAGGTGAACACACCTCTGTGAAAAACACATGTTAAAGATGAAAGAAACCCAGGAACTTCCTTTTCCTTTCCTGGTTGGCAAGAAGATAACATGCCCTGGGCCTGCCGGGCCCCATCCCAGGCTGGGCCAGGCAGGCTCTGCCGCGGGGGGCCGAGCCCCTCTCCGGGGGTCTGGGGGACTCCGAGCCCCGTCCTGGCTGGGCCGGGGCCCCAGTAGCTACCAGGCAGGAAGGTGGGGGAGGCTGCGGAGCCCTGCTGGCCACGACTGTTAAGATCTTGTCATCAGGTCCCCTCCCCCCAGTGCGGCTGAGACCAGAGGCAGCCCTGCTGCCGCGCAGAGTGGCCCTGCGACTGGAATTGAATGCAGAGAAGACCAAAAACCAACCATGAAGCCGATCCTGACACTGCCCCAGCCGCAGCTCCCGCCACAAGTTACCAGCGGGTCAGATGACCATTTGAAGGGCCCAAGCAACATGTTAACTGTTTCAGTGCTTCAGTCCTCCCTCGAGTGGGAGAAAGAAACAATATGCAAACATGTGAAATAACAACATAAGGACATCATAGTCAGTGAGAAAGAAATTAAGTCCCAGATGGGAGGGATGAGGAGATACTTTGATTTTAGAGTTGAAATCCTCTTATAAGCTATGGAGAAAATACCCTTTTCCCCTATAACATATAAAACTATGGGGAGATTAAAGGTTCAAATTGATATCGAGCAAAGGCCTCCATGCTAAAGTAAGCAGATATTAAAGAAGCTGTGATCCCATGAGAAGTTTGAACAGAGAAAGAGAAAAAAAGTAGTCCTGTGCCCCCAGGAAAAGAAGATCTCTGTTCCCAAGGATGAAGAGGATTTTAGAGATAGATAATAAAAACTTTTGCCTTTGAACAACTCATCTTTAAAACAATACCCCATAAGTCTACATGCCCCATCAACAATCTGTGGGAAGGCTTGTAGAAAATGGGAGGGACTTCACGATAACAGGGTTCCCTGGGCAGCTGGTATTGGTGAGGAAATTGAGAACCACGAGAGAACTGTTTTTTCCTCTTGTGGAGAAGTCTCCATAACATTATCAAAAAGGACTTCTATCCCTAAGTGAACTGACACCTACCCCAGAGACTACGGATGCCGCCCCAGAGCCCGTCCCTGCCCCACAGCCCACCTCAGAAATGAACCATCCAGATTGGGTGGGGGATTCTGGTGAAGGAGATAGGCCAGATGCTGAAAGAATATATTTCCTCAGCTGGTGAGAAGCCCTCCCCTTGCCTCAAATACAGAGACAACAACAAGAAGTGAGTACATAGGTGATTGGCCAGCACTGAAAACCACCACACTCATAAGGCCATTGGTTGCGAAATCTCAAAATTAGTTAAATCTCAAGTTAACAAACCGAAACCACTACAGGAAATTAGTGTTTCTGTCCGTTTTCTAGCTGAAACTGCCACACCATTGTGAGTGTGGTGCGTGGACTTGACTGCTTTGCCTGAATTCCTACCCAAGCGGCTTTTCCACAGGAGATGCTTATTGGGGAATAAGTATACGTAGCAGCATCCACCATCTAAAACCCACACTGCTACACCTTCCAACCCAAACCATTCTGTGATTCTGTGGTTATCTGTGCTTGAAACCTTGTTCAGATTCTGGGTTGTGATGGGGCAATGAACCAAATAGATTGATGTCAGGGATAGCTTGGAGATCTAGTGAAATTAGTGTGCAATTGTATAATTCTGTTAGAATACTTGCCAGGATCTTTGCGGGGGTGGGCAGGGGGGCTGCAGCGGTGGCTTCTGTGACAAGACACCAGAAGCTGCCCCCATGTCAGACAGAGCCAATTCCAGCTGGCTCCAAGACAGACCTTCCACTGGCCAAAGCTGAGCCAATCAGCAGTGCTGGTGTTGCCTCTGTGATAAAATATTTAAGAAAGGGTAAAAAGCACTGTGCAGCAGCTGTGAGGGAAGAGTGAGAAAAATGCAAGAGGAACAACCCTGCAAACACCAAGGTCAGTGAAGAAGCAGGGGGATGAGTTACTCCGGGCTCTGGAACAGATGTTCCCCTGCAGCCTGTAGTGGACCACATCAGAGTAGCCCTGCAACCTGTTGAGGGACAGGCACCAGAACAGGCTCCTGGCAGGAATTGAAGCCTGTGGAGAAATAGCCTATGTAGGAGCAGGTTTTTCTGGCAGGATGGGTTTTTCTGGCCAATGGGTGACCCATGCTAGAGCTGTCTGTTCCTGAAGGACTGTACTCTGTGGAAAAGGACCCATGTTGGAGCAGTTTTGTGAAGGACTGAATCCTGTGTGAGGGACCCCCACACATACACTCTGGAGCAGGGGAAGAGTGTGAGGAAGAATTAGTGGCAGAGATTAAGTGTTTTGAACTGACTACAACCCCTTTTTACCCATCTGCCTGCACTTCTTGTGGAGGAAGGAGGTGCAAGAATCATGAGTGAAATTGAGCATGGGAAGGGTAGAGGGGGACTGTGGTTTTAGTTTTGTCTTTGTTCTTTGCTATCTTACACTATTTTTATTTGCAATAAATTAATTTTGCCCATGTAGGAGTCTATTTTGCCCCTGACGATAACCAGTAAGCAATCTCCGTGTCTTTATCTTGACCCATGAGCTTTTCCATCTTATTTCCTCCCCATGTCCTGTTGAGGAGGGGGAGAGTGAGAGCACTTGGGTGGGCACTTGGTGGCCAGCCAAGGTCAACCTGCCACACCTGATTAATTATTTTAGTGCTTAGCAGCCTTGAAATGCTGTGAAATACATACTAATGAGAGGTTACTGGAGGAGCTTTAGTCATGGCCTTGAATTTTGAGACTTGGACCAGTATAGGGACTCATGTGAGACTGCTGGAAATTAATAAGAAGCACTAGTGACTTTCAGCTTTGGCTGTGTTTGTGTTTATGAGCCTAGTTGTCTCACTTGTTCTGTAAGTCAATGCACAATCTAGTATTTCTGAATGAAGAAGGTGAAATTCTGAATGGTGACAGTTGTATTGTTTTTCGGTTCCTAGAGTGATTCTGGGAAAAGATGCTTGCTAGACATAAACTTTAAAATGCTGAATGGGCACAAACATTGGTATGCTGTCCCAGCAAAGGGCAGAAAGCATTGCAATAAGTCTATTAAAGAATAGGGATATGCATATCTAGTACTCTATAGAAATTATACTTTTTGACAGAACAGCAAAGAAATTCAGAGCAGATTTTCCAGTTTTGGTGTTTCTGAAAAAGAATTGCTGGTTGGGCGCCACAGACTCTACATACTAAGCTGAGGATGCTTTATGATTTGTATTATGTGGAAGCATATGGTTTTCTCACTGTTCCTGCCATTTTCAAGGAGTTAACTAGACAAATAAGGTAATACCATTTCCCAGGAAAATCATATTAAGAACTTATGTTACTTCTGTTTACGTTCCCGTGGTGTAAGTTCATCTTGGGTGCTTATAAGGGTACAAGATCAAAACCCTCCAGCTACCTTTTGCAAAAATGTGAACTGCTTACATGAAGTTAAGCTTTAAAATGCCAAGTCTGAGGTCTGGATAGATTGACTACATTTTAGCTTGAGTCTTTACTATTAGAAGATGATTCATTTAGCCTGGGATTAGCTCTCCATATTGTTAAACACTGGTTCAGCTATGGCACCAATATCAACATATGAAGTGCTGGTGTCACTGAGTCATTTTGAATTACAGTGCTTAACATAGATTTGCTATGAGACCACAATGCATCTACAATGATTTTACTTGTAATATAAGCTCACCTATGGTAAAAACAAGGATAGGGAGAAAAATGATGGTTCACCAGCACCATCAGACTTAGTTTTCTAACATTCAGGAAGAGCCATGTTGTTTGCTTGTGTAAAAATCATGTAAACTGTTTATTTTTCTGGAAGTTGAGTCATTGAACAGCTTTATGATATTGGCATTTACACTTTGTGCAGAAGGAAAATGTTTATTTTGATTAATTAGTTAATGAAATTGACCGTGAGATCATGTACATAAGTGTATATATACAGAAGTTATATAAATAATGAGCTATCCTGCTTGAAAAGAACCATTCCTAAAATATCATCTTTTTCCAGATTTGTATTATGGTGGAGAAGCTTTCTCTGTAGAGCAGCCACAGTCCTTTACTTGTCCTTATTGTGGAAAGATGGGTTATACAGAAATATCTCTTCAGGAACATGTTGCTTCTGAACATGCAGAAACATCAACAGAGGTGGTAAGCTGCTTCAGCATTGTTTTTAAATTAAGTGAAAGTATATGAAAATATCCTGAAAATTAGGTGTTTTTTTTCTTGAAGTATGTGCTAATTTAAATGCTGACCAGGAAGGTATGTAGCATACATACATACACACTATGCTGGTGTTTTCCCTATTGACTCCTTGAGCTATTAACAGTGCCTACATCATCACCTTTACCTCTCTCTAGAATTTCTCACAGCACTCTCTCATCAGTCTGAGTCAGTTATGCAGCCGAGTCCCTGGGTCCTTGGTGTGCAGGCCACTAAATCCTGATGTTTCAGAAAAGGTTAAACCTTTGTAAAAATTAAAACTTTTTAAAATATTGATATATTAATTTTCAGTATATGGGGTTTTTAATAAAGTGGCCCCTGTTGTTTGCCTCAACCCTTCCACTTGATTTTTTCTGATGATTTCAACAGTGGCCATTGATACAGAACAATTACATACCATATAATAGCCTACTGCAACAGTTATTTTGCTTCTGTTTTTGTCAGTAAGCGTTCTCCTCAAGTCTTCTCAAGTCTTTACATCTGGATGTTACTATTGCTTGTGCCAGAAGGTCTGAAATTTTTCAGAAATGCAAGGTGACTTTGTTATGGAAACAATAAAATAACAAATAGCTTGGGTTTTGATACTCTTAGAAATAGTTTGTTCTCAACCCTCATTACAGTGTTCAGAAACTACATGCTTGCACTGCTTTGTGTTCAATTTTCTTTTTAGGAAAGTTCGTAGCCCTGTTTTTCAATTTCCCTTTATGGTGCAGGTGTATGTTTTGTATTTATTTCTAACACCCACTTCACTAATTCAATAGTTATGTGTGTTATCAATCCTAAGTTAAATTCTTGACCAAGAAATTTGGGTATCTTTCCAGCAGTAGGGGATATATTCATATTTGTGTGTGAATACTGTTTATGCCTGAGGAATGTATGATTACAGAAGGACATTCAGGGAACCGTTGTCTAGTTTTTTTTGTTGTAGATCCCTATAGAAATGTGCATGCTTTGAGAAAATTTTTTTGAGAACTTATGTGGGAGAAGGACAATCTGTCCCCTTAGCGCCTGCTAAGGGCCTTATATCAAGGAGTAGAAGAAGAATTAAAACTGGTGTAAGACCCCCAAAAACTCTCTTGACGAGCCTCTTAAAAGGGCTTACAGTTTTTCATGTACTCTGAGTTAGATGCACAGGAGAAATGCCATCAAGATATTCTCAAGAGGTCTAAAGAACAAAACAAAACAAAACAAAACAACCTTACTGGCAACTTCACAAAATCAGAGAATTTTGGTAAAAGTTTAGAGCAACATTCAATCAACATAAAGCATTTCACAAAGCATTAACTTTAGCCCATTCAATTTAGCAAATTCCAAGCCCATTTGATTTTAAGTTAGTCAAAACTCCAAGAAGAGGGAATTAGAAGAAAGAGAAAGAGAATAAATATAGAAAAGGACAAACATAGCTGCCACTCCTGTTTCCAGCAGTGTTCAGCTGATAGAAATTCCAAGAGGAGGTAGGGTCAAGATGTGTGCTCGCCTCATGCTTTGGTTTAAGTACCCTTTGGCTTTCCCTCAGGTGGCACTTATGGTCATCTGGCCACTCTGGAGCTAGATTGAGGCTCCAGGAATGAGATGTGGATCATTGCCTCCAGTGTGCCAGGGATTGGCAGCCATTGTGAGGTTGTGATATAGGCCCAGGGAGAGCGGGGTGTACGGGGCAGTGCATCACCTCACCTCACCAAAGGTGAGGCCCGACCTGCTCCTTCCCTTCACACACACCCCCAAAATGTTTTGAGCTAGCAATGTCCTCCAGTCTCTCACAACTGGTCAGCCTGTTCTGAGACTCAAGTGTCTTGGTCTTCCCTAAAAACATATGAATTATTGGTTTGTATTTTTTTCATTTTTAGATTTAAAACTGGAGTAATTATTATTTCTCCATCAAGTGATTAAGGGCAATGGTCAGAAATGTGGGACATATTCAGATGGATGTGGCTGGAATTATTATGATTGTTACTGTTGATATTGGGTTTCAAAAGCAGCATTCAGGTAGAGGGGTCTTTTTTAGGGTTTCAGCTCTGAAAATTGTAAGAAATGCAATCAGATAGCATCTTTGAATCAAGTTTCAGAATGAAGACATCACTTTTCTGCTACTCAGTCACACTTAGTGGATTCATTTTGTATTTAGTAAGGCAGCAACTAGACTGAAGTGAAAGGTTCCGGGTGAGGTGGGTCAACCTTGACTGGCTGCCAGATGCCCATCAAGCTCCTCTCTGTCACCTCCCTCCCCAGCAACAGGATGGGTAGAAAATATGGCAAAATGATCATTGGTCAGGATAAAGAGGGGCATTACTCAGCTCCTCAACTGAGTAATGCAGCTTTCTTCAGAGAAAGCTTTCTTCAGAGCACATCCACCTGATCTGATGTGGGGGCCTTCAAGGGCTGAAGGGGGACAACCTGTGTCACCATGGTCTTCTCCACTGGCTGCAGAGGAATTTCTACTGCCTATAGCACCTCTTCCTCCTCCTTCTCCACTGACCTTTTTGTCTGCAGGGTTATTTTTCTCATTTTTCCTCATTCCTCTCTCACAGATGCTGCTGTGCAGTTTTTTTACTTTCTTAAATATATTATTACAGAGATGCTACTACCATCACTGATTGACTCAGCTTTAGCCAGGGGCAAGTCTGTCTTCAAGCTGATTTGAACTGGCTCTGTTTCCCATGGGGACAGCTCCTGTTGTCTTCTGAAGCCAAAAAGTCTTTAATGTTTACAGTAAAAAAGGGAGCATCAGATAAACTAATACTAAGAACAGATAAGTTAAAATTATGGTCAGCAGTGGTTAAACAGCTATAATAATTCTATGTTCCCTCTAATATGCTCTGTTCAAATCTGTCATTATCTCAAACCCTTTGAGTCCTAGGTTGCATGCCAAAAATACTGGTTGTGGTTTAATCCCAGCTGGCAACTGGCATACACAGTTGCTTACTCACTTCTCTGCCTCTAGGGGGATGGGATGGGATGGCAGGGTAAAAGTGCAAAAACCTGTGGATTGAGATAATAGGGAAAGCAAAATCTGCCTATGCAAGCAAAGCTAAATAAGGAATTAATTCATTCCTTCCCATTGGCAGGCAGATGTTTAGTCATCTCCAAGAATGCAGGGCTCCATCACATGTAATGATTTCTTGGGAAGAAAAACACTAACTCTGAACCATCCTCCTTTCTTCCCTGTGTTTTTTATTGCTGAGCATGATGGCATATGGTATGGAATATCCCTTTGGTAAGTTTGGATCAGCTGTCTCAGCTGTGTCCCCTCCCAACTACTTGTACATTCCCCAGTCTACCTGCTGTTGGAGCAGTGTGAGAGACACAAAATGTTTTGATGATGTTTGATAACTGTTCAGCAATAGCTAAAACATTGGTGTATTATCAACACTCCTTTGGTCACAAAGCCAAAGCATAGCAATATATGGGCTACTAAGAAGAAATGTAACTCTATCCCAGCCAAAACCAGTATGTCCAGACTGAGGGATGCAGCTGCCACTTTCCCGTTTGCAGGTTCAGCCACTACTGAAGATGAGCACATATTTTGGAGACCTGTACACTCACAGAGGACACTGACACATGGCCCATCACACAGATGACCACAGACAGTGCTGCCTTCAACAGCACCTACACATAGGACTTGCATAAAACATAAGTATAGGCAGCCAAGTTCCCTCCTTCCTCTTTATCTGGTTGAGATAAAAGGTTGCTGCTAGTGAAGGTACATGATGCTCTCTAGAGTCACAAGCACACATATGTTCACTGTGATCCCTTGAGTACTGGCATGGCCCTCTTTGTCCAGTACCCCTGCCTAGATCCCAGGCACTCTTACCTGCTTCACAGGTCTCCTATTTGCCAGCTAGTCCAGCTTGATGCTCACTAGCAAACATTCATGCACTCATCTCACAAACACTCCATATTCACAAGTCCCCCATGTCATACTAGCACAAACTCTTGCCTGCTTAATACTCCTGCCTAGACTTGAGGCTCTTCTCTACTCAGTTGCTAGGTCCAGATTGAAGTTTGCTAGCCAATACACATGCACACCAGGTTTGGGGAAGATGCAGGCAACCACTCCCTTTTCCCCAGCATCTGGCACCAGGCACCACATGGGCTGTGACTGGTTGTCCTGCTTCAACTACCAGTGGTGGACTCCTCACTCATGCTGATTTCTCCCCTGTTAGCTGTGTTTTGGGGCACATACTGTTCCTGCCCCAGTGGCTGGAGGCAGGGACCATGACTCACTCTGGTAGCTGATCTTAAGACCCCACTCAGTCCAGTAGCCAACACCACAGGCCAGGGGTGCCTGCACCTCTGGTCTGACTGGAATAGTTGGCACCAAATACACTTATGACAGCTCTCCCAGTAGCAGGCACTCCAGGCACAAAGTTGGTAGTACCCACCCTAGGTCTACAGAGCTATGGCCCCTCCAGCTACTGATACTTGTTCCAGTAGCTGACACCACAGGCCACAGAGACACCTACAGCCCTAGTCTGACTCCAGTATCTGGCACCAATTTTTGTTCATACATACACAGGTCTCACCAGTAGCTGGCACTTAGTCCTTGCAACATACATACACATGGGATAGACAGTGACATTATGCAGAGGTTGTTTAAATTTAATAAGAAGATATAGGAAGACAGGGAAGACTCTGGTGATCAGGCTCAGTCAGTTAAACATACTGACCACCTCTGTTTTACATGTGACCAGTCCACTTTATACACGTTTCTGTCTACCCTCCCCTTTGTTCCTCCTGGGTCTCCCTTCCCCCTGCCTTTCTCTTCATAGGTTTGTATGGTTCTATTGATTCCCTCACCCCTCCCAGTCTGGAGTCTCCCCCCTAATTTACAGCCTTATCAGTTGCAAAGTCCAGGTTGATATCTTTGCAAGAGTAGTTAAGACCTAGCATATACTGTATCAAAGTTTCTCCTTTCTGGTTTATTAACATGTGATCTGTCAAGCTTGAATGCTGGCCTGCAAAATTGTTACAAAGGACTTTTAAGGCACTGTTGTGGTTTGACATGGAAAAAGAATTTTCTCGGAATGAAGAGGTCGATCCAGTCAGGGGTCAGGGTTGGATATTGACACTTGGAGTGACCAATTGAAGGTGGACACGCCTCTGAGAACAGAGAGGGGTTAAAAGTAGAATTCCCAGGAGAACTCTCTTTTTTTGGTTCTGGTCAGGGTGCAGTGCAGGACTCTCCCCTGCCTGGCCCGTGGCTGGGTGGGGGAGGGGACCCATGCGGCCCAGCTTGAGGTAGGCCGAAGGGTGGAGGGACTGGAATCGGACTGGCCCCCTGCAGATGGAAGGGTGGAGAAATCTGGGATGTCTGCGTTCCTCCCCCCAGAGTCTCTCTCTCGAGTGAGAAAGAGACAGTGATGGTCTGTCAGCAGTACACCGCAGGGAAGGAGAAGAGTGGGGGGGCCACAGGGCCGCAAGGCCACAAGGTGCCCAGCCGTGGGAGCCGGAGCATGGGCAGAGAGCCATCCAGGGAGTCGGTCGGGACTTTTAATCCTTCCTTGAGAAATGAAAGCTTTGTGAAATTTTACTTCTCCTCTGTTTGAAAGAGAGGAAGAGAGACAGCCTGGACCCTGGGATGTTGGAACGAGAAATTCTAGGTGGGAGGAGATGATGGAGTGGCTTTTGGCTGGACTTTTTCTTGTTAGCCACAGACTGAACTGATCTCCTCCAAGAGAGACTGTATTTTAGGAGGATGCCGGTGAGCCAAGAGACCTGCTTCAGCAGCTGAGAAAAGACAGGAGTGGAGGGAACAGAGAAAAGTTAGGGGGGTTTGTGGTGGTGCCCCCTGTCTTCAGAGAAGAAGAAGAGGAGAAGATCTCTGTTCCTGAGACCCTCGGCCCCAGGGAAAGAAGAAAATGGGGGAGACTGTGGTCCCAAAAAGTGAAAAACTGAACTGTTGTTTTTTCCCCTCTTTTCAGAGCATCCTCGAAAGGAAAAATCCTAAAAGCAGTCTGTCCATCCATGCATTGGTGGTGAGAGCACTGTGCATGGAAAGGAGAGGGTCACACTGGGAGATTTTTCTCCGGGCCATGCCATGTGTGACATGGAAACACTAGAAGTGGCAGCTGTGTTTCCTGGGGGTCTATGGTGCAAGGGAGACTCTTCTCTCCCTCGATGGACTCAGTATTGATTATATTGAAGGGTGAATACTTGATTAAGGGTCCAAGTCCTGTCTCACTGTGTTTTTTTGGAGTTGGGTGGTAGGAGGAGGAATGTTTTGAAAGGTCTTCATTTTGGATTTTGTGTGTGTTTTTCTTTCTTTTTTTTTCTTTTATAGTAGTATAGTAGTAGTAGCTTAATAAAGTTTTTTTTTTTTCCCTTGTTATTAAGCTTGGGCCTGCTTGCTCTGTTCCTGATCACATTTCACAGCATTCAATTGAGAGACTGCATTTTCATGGGGGCGCTGGCATTGTGTCAGTGTCAAACCATGTAAGGCACGCTTCTCTCAGGTGATTGCAGTCATTGGGGGGAAAAATCAAAATAATAAATGAAGGTTGCTATGGCAGTAAGTGTCCCTAGACTTTTCTTAAATGTGGGTTTAGGCTTAAGAGAAAAACAAAACCATAATGCTATCTCTCAAAACACTTGGTAGGAATTAGAAGTTTCTCTGCCAAATTTCTACTTGTGTTATTGCAGTGGGTGGTCTCAGTTGGGATACTTTAATGAATATTCACATCTGGTTTCATTCTCCTTCCTACACTTGACTGGTGAGATGAATGAGAAGTCGCTTGAGGATTCAAAGAGTAGTAAATGAACTTGATAATGTCTTATGTAGGTTCATTCAAGCAGTAATCCTGTGTAATTAGACCTACTATCTGTTCTGGAATTGAAATATAAAGACAATATTGAAAGCTGAAACATTGCAGATAGGATTTGAAAATTTTACTTTTTGGTTTCCATGGTATTATTAAATGCATAATTACAAGGAAAACTGAGACTTTAAAAGATGCTACAATTAACATCTGTATTTGAACACATATACTGTTTTAAATTGTGGCTGTTTAGGTGTAGGATTAGAATGTGATATTTAAAGTATAAGAATCCATGTCAAGTGATCAACTCTGAATTGTGATTTGTGTAAATTTGGTTGTGTTTGGTGTTTTTTTCTCACTTTGTTGTTTCAGATCTGTCCAATATGTGCAGCATTACCTGGAGGGGATCCTAATCATGTCACAGATGACTTTGCAGCTCATCTTACACTGGAACACAGAGCTTCTAGAGATTTAATATCCTTTCTTAAGTTGAGCAAAAAGGGATAGACTGTTCCTTATAACAGCTGTAACTACTTGTTCTGACTTCTGTAGTCATGTGGCTCCATCAGTGTAACTTATTTTTTAGAATTGGTGTTTAGTTATAGGGGAACTATACATCTGAATTTTTTATATGTGTATATATATATATCTCCATCAGACTGTGAATAGGCTTTAGGTGTTGCTTGACAATGTGGGTGTGTGTTTTTGTTTTATTTCTGATAGTGAAAGCTTTTAAAGATATTTCTGGTGCCCAGCTGCTTCTTTCTGCAATTTTTACCCTTCTTGGCCATTAGTTCTGATGCCATTTTGTTTCTGGGAAAGCAACAATCCAGATGCAGTAATGCTTTATAGATAATTACAAGACTGAAAGCAGATTTCACCAAAAGCATATGTTTTAGAGAATGCGTTGAACTTTGAAATTGAGGGATCTTAAATGTTTGATTCGTTTTATTACTATATTTCAATAGGGTAGTTACAGCCTCTTATTTATTGACATTTTAAAAGCTATAACTAGAAGACCTATCAGGAGACTTCCTAGGGATTAGGGCTATCTTTGTTAACTGCAAATTGTAGTGCTATAACTACTGTCAGTGACTGAAGAGCTCAAACTGTCAGTTTCTTTTCACTTCTAAGTACAATTTTCTTTCTGTTACTTGGTCTTAGGAATAGTAATGTGGCTTGTTTTTTTGCTATACAAATAGTTATAATTTCAGAAGATACTCTTACTTCATGGAAGTACAGGCCATCATTAAAAGCTCATTAAGTGATCTTTATGTATCTCATTTTAAAAAATGCACTCCTAGTGTAATTTGATAGTGCCCTTTTTTATCAGAGAATCTTATAAAAAAAAAGAAGGCCTAACAACTCAAGTTCATTATATCTACTGCTAGCAACATTAGAGGAAATGGTTTCACTTTGGTTGTTGTCTGTATGTAAATTTTTTATAATTTAAATTGCCAGTCCCAATTACACAGTGAAATTGACTTCCTATTGAAGTGGATGAGGTGTTGGATTAGAATTCATGCTTCTAGAGCTTTTACTTCCCCTCCCACATCAATGATGTCAGATAACATTTAATTGGGAAATGTATGTTTAGTACTAGCTACAGAAGAGCTAAAGAAACCAGAATAATATTTTCAGTTACTAAGGCCACAGTGTCAGTCATCACAAAACTGATGGGGAGAGTCTATATAAATAATTATAGGAAATGCATGTAAAAGTTTCCATACAACTTTACTTTAGCAATCAGTGTTGCCAAATTCACAAAAATTGAGAGTTTCTGCACTAGTCGTTCCATATTGGGTGCTATTTCACATCTTCTGACAGCTAAGACTAAAAAGAAGAAATGGGGGAGAGATTTCCCCCTGCCCAGTTGCTATCAGCTTAGGAAAGGATATAGTCTTCTGTGCAGCGGTTTGGAGGGTATTTAAAGCTGTTTTAAATGGCTACACATATTTCTTGTGAAGGTTCCTGTGCAGACACTGCAAGATACCACCTTTATCCCTGGAGACGCTGGGCAGCTCTTTAAATTCCGTTTTCTTTCTTAATCAATTTTCAACTGTTTTACTATTTAAAACATGGCTTTAGTCTTGACCTTGTAAATCGTTCTAGCTTGGTTGTTTTCAGTATATGTTTGCAATGAGTTAAGAGTTCCAAATGCTTTTTTTAACTTCAGCATAGTTGGGTGAGACATCAATATACTCTTGACTAGTATATTTAAATAATGTTGTTTTTCTTGAAAACACTTTGAAAGGTACACTGTACAAGCAAGCTACTACGATACTTTTCAAAATGAGACCAAGGCTGGAATTTTTCAAAGTATTTATATTAAAGATGTTCTAGTAATCTTATTTTCCAAGTTTATTTTAAAAAAAGACCAGAATTGGGGCATTTTTCTGACAGATGTAGCTATGGAGAGCTTCCCAAACTAACTGAGAGAAGCAGTCAACCAGTAAAATATTAGTGACAATGTTCTGTCACTACTAGTATCCAGTTTCAACAGATTCAAAGGAGGAACAAACCAATCTGTGCTAGAAAACTATATTTTGTCCCAAGGGAGATTTTCTCCCCCTCCTAAATCCTCCAAGTGAAATGTTTTATTCTCTATAGTATAATAGATTTAAAAGAGTCAATTCTTCCTGAAAGTATTTATTATAGTAATTGGATATTCTTACTTGCCAAAAGAAATCTTATTTTTTCAGTCTTAAATTTTTCAATTCAGTGATATTGTGAGGAAATGAATTCTACACCATATTTGTGCATTATGGGATAAGACATTGGGCACCAGTCTGCTGCAGATAATAGATTTTATACAAGTGATAAACATGCTATTTTTGAAAATAAGAAAATTGGAGATAAGGTGAGCTAAAGCTGCTAGTTTAGAAATTGGAAAAATATTATATGTATAAGTACATTATTTCCTAGCTTAGTAGTTAATTGCACTACTGCTTCTTGAGGTAAAAGGAAGCTTTACCTAGACTGTCTTGGGAGAACACATTTGTGTGGTAAGAATAGCAATAAAATTTTGTAGATGATTTTCCATATTTAAATACCTTTCTTTCCCAATTTTTGATGCTAAAATCGTTGTCTATTGAGTAATATGTTCTGCTGAATATGCAGCATGAGTTGTAGCATCATTACCTAGTAAAAGCTTTAATCCATAAGGCAGAAAATCCATCCTGACATTTTTTAAACATTATAAAAAGCCTGGGAAAGATGAATTTGGTACAAGGAGCCCTGGGTGCCTTGATTTGACATCTGTAGATCTGACTAGCACCATAGCTATGATTACATTGCGCTTATAAAGTTGAATAATTGTTTTATGAATGAGGAATGTGATGCCTGATTATTCAATCTAGTAAATGTTTTTGCTGTTTAATAGTTGATAACAATAGACTTTTCTTAACTGCATGGTTATGATGAATCTAGTGGCGTTCGGCACGTACGTAGAATGTTTCATCCAGGCCGAGGTTTGGGAGGCCCCCGTGCACGTAGATCAAACATGCACTTTACTAGCAGTTCCAGTGGTGGGCTTTCATCTTCTCAGAGTTCATATTCTCCAAGCAATAGAGAAACCATGGATCCTATAGCTGGTAAGAGCTGTAACCACTGATTTTAGATCAGAGTCCTTAAATAGACTTTGAAACTTTGAAACAAAGTCCATGATGAAAATGGTTGTCTTATTTTTCTGGTGGTTTGTTGTTGTTTTTTTTTTTTTAATGCTTCCCAATGTCACAATTGGTGGGTATTTACTGATGAAAAGTACCCTTAATTGGATTGTCTACAGGGAGTGAACCTGGAACTTTTGAAATGTAAAACACTGCCCCTTTAGCTTGTGCTTTTAGAGACTTCTAGGCTCATTCCCATGACTGACCTGTTCATAGGTGGCATCAAAGAATGGTTGACATTTGAAAGGACCTTTTAAGATCACCTACTACAACCCCATCCAATTTCCCTCCCCGCCCTGCCCCCAAGCAAGGCCACCTAGAGCAGGTTGCTCAGGACCACGTCCAGTCAGATTTTGAATAGTCTTACTGATGGACTCTGCAACCTCTCTGGACAGACTGTTACAGAATTTGGTCACCCTCACAGTAAAGCGTTTTCTTCTGTTCAGATGGATTTTTTTTTTTTTTTTTAATGTCTGCCAATTGCCTCTTGTCCTGTCAGTGAGTAATAGAGTGTCTGGCTTCCTTTTCTTCATTTCCTCCCATCAGTTATTTATATACACTGTTAAGATTCCTCCCCCTTCAGCCTTTTCTTTTCCAGGCTGAAGAGTCCTAGGTCTCTTAGCCTCTCCTCATATGACATGTATGCATTTGTTTTTGAATTTTTGAGTGGATGGACAGCAGGATGGGGACTAGGGGAGCAAAGTTCCTCCCACTGTAAGTAAACATCAGGTTCATGACCACCTGAGGAACCTGAATGTACATAAGTGTATGGGACCTGATGAGATGCATCCTAGAGTCCTGAGTGAATTGGCTGATGTAGTTGCCATGCCACTCTCCATGATATTTGAAAAGTCATGGCAGTCAGGTGAAGTCCCCAGTCATTGGAAAAAGGGCGACATCACACCCGTTTTTTAGAAGAGTAAAAGGGCTGCAAGTCTCAGGCCAGGTGCCACAGCACATGCACCAGTGTAAAAGATGACATATAGGAAGAAAGTGTTGCTAAAAGTCATCATCATTAGAGACTCTGGGATGGGAAAGACATCACACATGAACCAGTATGTAAACAAGAAATTCAGTAACTAGTACAAAGCTATGATAGGTGCAGGCTTCCTGACAAAAGAGGTCATGGTGGATGACAGGCTAGTGACAATGAAGATGTAGGATATAGCACTCCAAGAACAATTTCAGTCTCTGGGAGCTGCCTTCTACAAGGGAACAGACTGCTGCATCCTGGTGTTTGATGTCATGGCCCCCAACACATTTGAAACCCTAGACAAGCCCAAGGGATTAATTCCTCACTCAGGCCAGTCCAAGAGATCCTGAGGACTTCTTTTTCTGTGCTGGGAAACAAGATTGACCTAGAAAACAGATAAGTCACCACAAAACAGGTGCAAGCCTGGTGCTACAGTAAAAACAACATCCCCTACTTTGAAATCAGTGCCAAGGAGGCCGTTAATGTGGAACAAACTTTCCATACGATTGCATGAAATGCACTTAAACAGGAAATCAAAGTGGAGCTTTATGATGAATTCTCCGAACCCATCAAACCAGACAAGAATGACTGAATGAAGGCTTCTGTGGAGAGTTGTATCTGCTGAGGGGAAAGGGAGGAGTTGAGCACAGTCTATCACAAATGAATATCACACTTAGGCCCTCAAACACACAGTCCCTCTTCTGTGTTTAAAATTAAATTAAAAAAAAAATTCCATCTCCAGCTGCCAAAATCTACCCATCTCCCATAAGCATCTGAATCCCACACTTCAGAGCTCATGTCCCCACATTATCCACATTGCACTTTGTTACACTACGACACAAAACTCACACACAGATGTTAGATGTAAAAGGGGAAAGAAAAGAACTCAAAGAGTAAGATTTATTTTCTCACTTTACTATATATAGAATATCAAAAGTGACAGTGGATTGGAGGATGAAATTGCCACCTCTTTAACTACACTGGTAAAACTAACAGTCTATCAATTCTCTCTACCTACAAAGAAGAATGTAAAGCAATCATTATTTACAAGAACAGTGTGAAAAAAATCAGTAGAAATATGTAAACATATAGAAAGCTTTTAGAAGAACTTTAAAACTTTCAAAAGAACAGGGTAACAGCACTTCGTGGTAACAGACCTTTCTCTTAGTTTAGAATGGAAACTCTCATATATGTTTGGAACTGAATCTAATTCCAGGTGTCCAATGGAGAGAAACTGTTTACAGGTAATCTGTGTAACAAGTTACATACGTTTTTAACTGTCTTGTGTTTTCCACTGTGAAGGCTGCAACTGGAAAGGCTGACTACCCATAGTTCATTGCAAGCTCAGCACTCAGTCTGACTAGGTTGAGTTCCATATCTCTGTTAATGCTTGTTACTTCTAACTAATCCAATCTTTTTACAGTATCTCTGTATTATGTGATGCTTCCTTAGGAAAAAATCTTATAATACATGTTAATATATGCAATCAATTAAATTTTTTTTTAAAGAGAGAACCCTGGATACTCCTGACCATTCAGCCTCATCTCTGTGCCTGGTAAGGTCATGGAACAGATCCTACTGGAAGCTATGTCAAGGCATATGGAAAGCAGGGATTAGACACAGCCAACATGCTCTAGGCAAGAGCAAATCATGCCTAACTAATCTACTGATCTTCTATCATGGAGGGATTGCATTAGTGGACAGGAAAAGAGCTATGGATGTTATCTATCTGGACTTCTGTAAGGCCTTTGACACTGTCTCTCACAACATTCTTGCCGCTAAATTGGAGAGAGATAGGTTTGACGGGTGGATTGTTAGACAGATAAGGAACTGGCTGGATGACTGCATCCAAAGAATTTCAGTCAATGGCTCAATGTCCAAGTGGAAATCAGTAACAAGTGGTGTCCCTCAAAGGTCTGTATTGGGACTAGTACTATTTAATATCCATGATGCAGAGGGATTGAGTACATCCTCAGCAAGTTTGCAGACGACACCAAGCTGAGTAGAACAGTTGATTTCCTAGAGGGAAGGAATGCCATCCAGAGGGACCTTGAGAGGCTTGAGTAGTGGGGCCATGGGAACCTCATGAAGTTCAGCAAGGCCAAGTGCAAAGTCCTGCATCCAGCATGCATCCAGCTCTGGGGTCAGCAGTACAAAAAATACATGGACCTTATGGACCTGTTAGAGTGGGTCCAGATGAGGGTCACAAAAATTATCAGAGGGCTGGAACACCTCTCCTATGAAGAAAGGCTGAGAGAGTTGGGTTGTTTATCCTGGAGAAGAGAAGGCTCCAGGGACACCTTATTGCAACCTTTCAAGGTATAAAGGGGACTTATAAGAAAGACAGAGTTGCTGGGTTTTTTTTATGAAGGCCTGTAGTGACAGGACAAGGATAAACAGTTTTGAACTGAAAGAGGATAAGTTTAGATTGGACATAATGCAGACTTTTTTTTACAAGGAGGGTAAGTCATTGTAACTGGGACAGGTTGCCTAGGGAAGCTGTGGATGCCCCATCATTGGAAGTGTTCAAGGCCAGGTTGGATGGGGCTTTGAACAACCTGATGTAGTGAAAGATGTCCCTGCCCATGGCAGGGGGGTTGGACTTGATGATCTAATGTAAAATCTTAGAGATATCAATCTTACACTCATATAGTAAAAATTATAAGTGTCTATCTTAGTTCTCTCTGTATCTTCCACTTGGGTAGATTCAGACAGTGGTAAGATATCTTACAAAGCATTCTTTTCCAGTCTGAACAGAAACAGTTCTCCCACTCTTTCATCCTGTAATATGTTCTAGCCTTCTGATCATCTGGGTGGCCCTCCACTGGATTTGCTCTGCTATGTCCATGTCTCTTGTCCTGGGGAGCCTAAAATTGAACACAGAAATCCAGATGTGGCTTTGCCCCAGTGCCAAATGGAGGGGGAAAATCACTTCCTGAGACCTGCATCTGCATTTCTGCTACTAAAAATAACCCAGCAAAAGAGGTTGAAAAATTTTCTGTCATCTTAATGATTAAGTTAGGTCATGGGTCCTTTAAAGCACTAGAGTTGGTGCAAGAAGGGAGGATGTTTGTGTCTCCTGGAGTCCTGGAGTGCAACACTTCCTCTTACTGATGCATTGGGTGTTAGTTTAGCTGAGTTAAACATGAAGTGGCTGCCTTGGTTTATTTCAGTCTCACAAGACCCTTCCCATTTAGGAGCATGTGTAATAAAATGATGTTCCTTTGAGTCTTGTCCTTTTTTTTTTTTTTTTTTGTGTCAATGTTTTTTTTTTGCATTTAGACAATGTAGTGCAGCCTGGCTCAGTGTCTGTGTCATGCCAAGCCTGTGTCTCAAATTCACATCTGCTACTAGGGTTCTGTTAAGCTGTACTCAAAGTGATCTTGCAAACAGCAAGGAAAAATATGTCTTACCCGGCAGTGTTATAAGTCTTCCTTTGTATTGGGGTAATAATTAGTACATACTACCAGAAGTTAGAACTTGTGCTTGTAACATACATGTGTGCATTATTTATTTATTTTTCTCCTTGTGGTTGTTATCAGTAATTAGTGAAATAAAATATTGGTAGCTGATAGTGATATCAATTGCTCCAGATGCAAAGAACTACTGCATTGTGCTTTGTTCCCCTAAGAAAAGCCTAGTTTCAAAGGATTATATCACGAAAGTGAGATGGCAGGAAAATTTTCATGACCTGTAATAATGACTTACAGCTTTAATGAGGATTGGATGGATAGGGAAAAAAGGTAATCTACTACTTCTGCCCTCCTTGTATTATACACAACAAAGTAGTACTCACAACTTTGTGTGGAATATAATATGTAGCAAACTGCTGGGCAATAGCTTATTATTAATGTTTATTTTGGGAAATGCTTAGCATGGACATAATTTGTCACCGTCTTGAACTCTGAAGAAAAGGAATCCAGGCTAGATTTAACTTTTTTATCATTAGAATTTCTCTTTTGAGCAGAGGTCAAAAAGTGCACCAAAAAATCCCCTCTTGTGGTCAAATATTTTTCATATAATTCAGCATTTTAAAAGCCTTTCTAAACGGAATATTTTCTAAAAATGTCTGAAATTATGCTATAATTATTTGTCTTTTCTGCAGCACAGCTTCCCTCTGGAATATGCCTTGAAGGTGCATTAAGCCACCGACTGAAGTCAGAATCTAAGGGGTTAACTATTTTGACTAACTTGAAAATAAAATTTTAGAGAATTCTTGCACAGGATACTGCCTATATGGTATTCCCCATAGGTTGACCCTTATCAGTTTAAAAAGCTTTAAGCTTCGACTCTTTTTTATACATAGTTCTTTAAATAATTCTTAATCTTCCTGTGGGTTTTGAGACATGGGGTGCTTGTAATGGATAGCCCATGAAGCTTTTCAAATCAATACAATTTGTTCATTAATTTAATCGATGAAAGTTTTTAGAAAGCAAGGGAATTTATATACTGGTATTCAGGACATAATTATGCTGTTGTGTGATATGTATTTAAGCAGATTTCACTGTAGAAACTTCTCTCTTTTCTGGCAGAGCTTTTATCTCAGTTATCAGGCGTGAGACGTTCTGCAGGACAGCTCAATTCTTCTGGCCCTTCTGCTTCTCAGTTACAGCAGCTGCAGATGCAACTGCAGTTGGAAAGACAGCATGCACAGGCAGCAAGACAACAACTGGAAACTGCACGCAATGCCACTAGACGCACTAACACAAGCAGCATACCCACCACTCTTACACAATCTATAGCAGCAACCAATACATCTAACACAGAAAACAATCATCAGACTATACAGAATTCCCAGTTTCTTCTTATGAGGTAATTTGGTTTGTGGTTTTAACTCTTCTTCCATTTCTGTTTTCCTTGTCTTTTTGTGGACATAGAGTTTAGTGAAGCTACTGCCAGATCGCTAATGAAGTTTGTAGTTGAGATACTATCCTTTTGTTTGCCTTTGTAACATCACCTTTTCAACCCTGCTTTTTTGTTCCTAGGCAATGAATAAATATTACTTGTTTTTCAATTTGAAGAGAAAAATATGGGATATTGCCTTGTTTACCTGTGTTTATTTACCCCACTACTTCTGATAAGACAAGAGCCTTTACAATAATATGTTTCAAACTTTTATGCTGATAATGTGAGGGGAGATAACTTTAAAGTTAGTTTTATTTAATAGGAAATGAATCTTTAATGAAGGCTGAAGGTTGAATAGAGGTTTATATATAAAATATTTTGGATTAAAAAGGATTGTGCTATTAATAACCAGTGTGCATATCTGTTTCAGAAAGTATAGTTATATCCTGCAGTTCTATGGAATAGAATAGTTCACTTGGAAGAGACCTACAACCATCATCTAGTCCATTCTACTATAGTAGAGTTGCCCACTCTCATTCCAGCTCTTTTTGAGGTTTAGAATATTGATTTTCTGGATTCAAGGGGGACGATGTTTTTCAGTTGCATGTTGAGAAAGAACAAAAGCATTTTAACAGTTTCTGTGTCTAGAAACTGGGGTTGTGATAAGTTATTGCTGTCATGCTGATTTCTATCAAAACTTGTGATAATATCTCAATCCAAACCTTTTTGAAAATCATAAGTTTAAGGAAAGTATCTGCAAATGTCAGTCACTGATCTTGTGAGCTAGGATAGAACTGAAGCAAGCAATTCTCTTCTATTAGGTGATGGTGCATGGACTGATAAGTAAAGGGAATGATGTCCTGTCCTTTGGGAATCTCTGGGCATTATGTGTGTAGTAATGTATTTTGTGTCATGCTTGCATTTAGAAGTTGTCCTGGGGACAAAATGAACACTTAAGAGATGACTAGAGAATTTTAATGCCCCTTAAAACAAAATCCCTCTGAGGGGAAAAAAACTTCAGAAATTGATTTTATTTTCCCTTCAGCCTTAGAATCTACTTCTATGAAGGACTTTTTGAAGCATCTTGGAACAAGTTTGTTAAATGTTTGTATTCTTGCATCAGGAGTGTCAGATAATGTCAGATCTGTACATGTCAAGAGAAGTGCAGCAGTACCTAGGTTGTTTCTCAAAGGAATGGCTTTCAGATGTTATTCAGCATGCATCAGTATAACTGTTAAAGCAATTAGTGAAAGCCAATTTTGTTGATGATACTAGTAAGCCTGTCTTATCTTTCTGTGTTGCTCTGCAGGTTGAATGATCCTAAGATGTCAGAAGCAGAGCGTCAATCAAAAGAAAGCGAACAGGCAGATCACAGCTTGTTTGTTCAAGAGCTTCTACTGTCCACTTTGATGCAGGAAGAAAGTTCCTCCTCAGATGAGGATGAACGGGGAGAGATTGCTGATTTTGGTGCTATGGGCTGTGTAGATATTATGCCTCTAGATGTTGCTTTAGAAAACCTAAATTTAAAAGAGAATAATAAAGGAAATGAGCCTCCTCTTTGATGGCATCCCACTTTGCAGACAATGTCCTCTGTGCTGTATTTGCCAATGAAAGTGGACAACAACTATCTTGGGTTTGTTTTGGTGATTGTAATTTCAGGTCTGTCACTCTTGTTACATTGTGTACATTCAAAGGAAAAAAGATATATATGATAATCATTTCCACTTAACCAATTTTTACTTTTAGCAGATAAATATAGGTTGCAGTGCAGAGAAAAAAAAGCTCTGTGTCCTGTAGCTTGACGTGCAAAAAAGCTCTCCTAATACTCCACATTCAAACTGAAGAGGAAAAAATGAAAAAAATCTCAAATGAAGCTGCTGTGTGTATTTATGAATATTAATGAATAAAACTTGCTTGGATGGTTTACCTTAACTCCTTCATGATTTTTATTTCAGTGTGCATGAGTTTTAGTGACCTTGTAATTTTAAAAAAATCTAAGTACAAGGAGTAAAACTATAAAACACTGTAGTGGTTTCCCATTCCCAAAACACCAAAGCTTTCCCATTATTAAAAGGTAATGTGACAAAAAAAAAAAAAAAAATTAAGGCTCACTAGCAGTTTGCAGCCATGAAGTAGCCTTTGAGTAACACATGACCAATGACCTTTTTATGTGCTGTCCCTGCATATTAATGAAAACTCTGCAATGGGCTATATTTTTGCTTATATAGTGTGACGTTCTGCTGTATTGTGACCACTGTGTTGCCCTGCTAGACATCATATCCAAGTGGAATTGAATTTTGTAGTCATCTTTAGGAAACAAGGGCCACTACCGGAATCTACTACAAAGGGCTTCTGTGTGCCCTAACATCAAGTTTTGTCCAACTTTCTTTAAAGTTTTCCTTTTTGTGTTAAATATACCTTATTTAAGTATAAATTATTCATATATTCACTGGTGAGCAGTGTGTGTTAACCTGGATTGTGCTGTTTTAGTTTTAAGACTTCATAGTCCTTATAATTTTGAGTTATTTATGTATTTTCTTCATAGTTTACAGAGACTTCTTAGGAGAGACTGAGGATTTGACTTCCCAGATATCTCCATATGTTACAATTTGGATTCTTAATGCTAACTTGCTATCAACCTTGGTGAAAGAAACATGACACCTGGTCTGGATGAGATTTGGGTCTTGAATAGAAACATGACAGTGTCCTGTTTTAAGGCAAATTTGGGAGAAAACCTCCATAAGGAGCCCCCAGAAAGCAAACCCCCATGGCCCCTCTCCCCCACCTGGTTCGGGAAGAATTTCCTCAGAGAGAAGTGGAACAAAACCTGTTTGTTTAACAAACAAAACACTCCCCAGCACCAAAAAAAAATAATAACACCAGATGACAACAAAACTCTTTCGCCACTCTGAAGAGATGACAAATCCAGAAAGTCTCTCCTGGGAGTGGTTACCTGGGTCTGGGTGCTGGGGATTGCTCTCCGGCTCTGGGGATAGCTGCTGCAGATCACAAAATGCAGGCTCTCGGTGTTTCTCAGTGTTCCCCAGGTCTCAGTCCAGAGCACGTTGGAATGGTAGTCAGGAAAGGGAAAGAAAAAAAAACCAGTCCAGGGGAAAAATTGGACTGCCTAGCTAAACTAGTAAGCAAAAGCAAAAGCAGGAGCAAGAGCAAGCAAGCAAGCCAGCAAGCAAGCAAGCAAGCACTAGCACTAGCCTCTCCTAGACAACAGACCACGGGGGGGGGGGGGGGGGGGGGGGGGGGGGGGGGGAGGTGAGCCAGCTGATAACAAGACAAAACAAACCTTCACTTTCAGAGTCAGTCCTGAAAGCACAGAACATTAATATTAAACATAAACAGAACAGATGATTGGGGATACAAGCACCATAACGTCACCCTAGGACAGATAGGTTGCAAACTAAGCATTGGATGTGCTCAACAGTCTGGCCTTAGCACACAAAGGTAATATTTTAATAGTGATTCTACACAAAATACCAGCATGATTGCTCATTTGACATACAATGAGACTGGAAGACCTGTGAGCTTTGACAGTACCTCTAACTTGTCTATGTCTCTCTGTCTTTTAATGAAATTAGAGCTTTTTTAAGCCTATCTTGGGCATATTATTTAAGGGTATGGGCTGTTACAGATTACTTACGAACACTGCAGCTTGCCTCAAAAGCCAAGTGTCTACATGTGCATGCATTTCTGTTTTGGGGCCCCTGTCTGTTCACAGAATTGTGGAATGGTTGAGGTTGGAAGGAACATCTGAAGGTCCCCTAGTCCAACTTCCCTGATCAAGCAGTATCTCCTAGAACTGGTTACCCAGGATCATGTCCAGGAGGCTTTAGAACATCTCCAAGGAGGGAGATTCCACAACCCCACTGGGCAGCCTGTTTCAGAGCTCAGTCACTTTCACAGTGAAAAAGTGTTTCCTGATTCTCAGACAGAACCTCCTATGTTACAACTTGTGCCCATTGTCTCTTGTCCAGTCACTGAGCACCACTGAAAAGAGCCTGGCTCGATCTTGTTTTCATCCTCCCTTCAGGTATTTATATACATGGGTGAGATGCCCCCTGAGACTTTCTCTAGAATGAACAGTCACAGCTCTCTCAGTCTTGCCTCATAGGAGAGGAGCTCTAGTCCCTTGATCATCTTTATGGCCCTTGGTTGAACTGTCTCCATCATGTCCACGTCTCTTGTAATGAAGCACCTATGTGTAAGTCAGCACAGGAAGGCAGCTGGGACAACCACAAACATATGACTAAAACACAAAGAGTAAAATTTTTCCCATTACCTTGCTGACCCAGGGGATTCCTGAAGCAACACCCAGGCAGAAGCACACACAAAGCTAGGGTTCTCATAAGACAGGAAAACTGGACAGGACAAACGCAGATCAGGCCAATGTGGTCAATCAAACGTTCTCCATTTATTAGTTAGAAGATGGCAGTTTATATACACTTCAATATAGTTTACAGTTTACAAAGGGGGCGGGGGCGCGCGGGCGAACCCAGCCTCCTCCCACCGCAAGCAGCGCCTGTGCCGCAGGGTCAGCAGGGAATGCCCCGATACGGGACCCCTGGGTAACCCTAGCCATGAAAGTGGGGAGAAAGCCCCCGGGAGTGTGGGAGACGTGCTGCCTCTGTGGCAGTCGGGACCCCCACGTAGTGAGACTATGAGAGCCACTGCTGCACACCCACTGCTGCCAATCAAAACCTGACCCTCAAAACAAAACTAATGAGAGGCTGTGAGTTCTATTTGCAGGACACGCTTGTGAACCATCCCCGTGACACATACACCCCTGCTCCAGAAGGAGATGACAGACCACCAAGCCACCAGACAAAACCTGAGCCTTCCACGGCGGTGAGACCCAAACGTGCACAGTGTCTTTATGCAATTTTGCTGTTTAGGACTTGTGGCCGGGGGGCAAGCTGGCCCAGGCCACTACCCTCATCAGCTATTTAGGTGGGTCGTGCAACATCTATCAAGTGACAAGGTGCTCAAAAAAGTCACCATAATAAATACCCCATCCTTCGTGTTCCACATAGCCAGCCTGTTTAGAAGCTACCTTACTAACCCTAAATGAAACCAAATCAAACCTGACTAACCCCTATTAGGTTTGCTATGATGTTAAAACCCCCTTTTCTACGAAGGCATTGCTTTAAATACCCCTTTCAGTTACCCCACAGCCAGTGCCCCCCACCAGTGCAGATAGGACACTCCCCGCAGAGAAATCACCCTGAGTCAAATCACAGGACAGGGCAGATGTTCTAGCAATGCAACCTTAGCAAAGCAGAAAGGCAACTTCTGCACTAAAGTTGTCAAGCCTGACAGAAAAACCAACAAGTGAATGACCCCACCTGCATCTGGGCTGTGAGTTTGCCAGTGATCCAGAGCGAATCCTTATATGTTCCTTGCCAAGTTTAATAGCTCTATCGATTTCTGTGTTCAAGTTCTGATTGTTTCTAAGGTCCTACATCACTCAGACGAAGAGACATACCATCTTCTCGAAGAACCTAACAGACTCCACAAAAGGGAAATCATCACAGGTATAACTATCGCGATGCTGCTCGGCTTGGGAGCAGCTGGCACGGCCACGGGTGTCTCAGCCATCGCAACCCAACAGCACGGACTCTTTCAGCTGCAAATGACCATCGACGAGGACCTGCAGAGGATCGAGAAATCCATCTCCTACCTAGAGAAATCAGTCTCTTCGCTTTCAGAAGTGGTCTTACAAAATAGGCGGGGTCTGGACCCTTTGTTCATGCAGCAGGGAGGACTGTGTGCAGCCTTGAAGGAGGAATGCTGCTTTTATGCAGATCATACGGGAGTCGTTAAAGACTCCATGGCAGAACTCCGAGACAGACTGGCTCAGAGAAAGAGAGACAGGGAGACCCAGCAGAGCTGGTTTGAATCCTGGTTCAATCAATCACCTTGTCTCACCACTTTAATTTCCGCCCAGGTAGGTCCACTGGCAATACTGCTTTTAGCTATTACCATAGGACCATGCCTGCTGAACAAACTAGTCTCGTTTGTTCAGGCCCGTCTGGAAAGGGCAAACATTCTGTTCATAGGCCACCAACAAATGCTGTAAACCAAAGAACTGCAAACACAGTCAGTAGCTAAAGCCTTCAACACCTGCCTTAAAAAATCTACCCAGATCTACCAAACCACCCTTTCCTTAACAAGTTGCAAGTTTGTACCTCACTCCAGTGCCTATACCTACGACTACCTCATTTTGTATGTGATAAGGAGGGGGGAGATGTGGTAGATAGGGACAGGCGGAGCGGAAGACCACGGGATGTCATGGAAAGATAGACCCCTCCCCTTCTCTCTTCCCCACGTTATCTATTAACCCCAGAAGCCCCAGGAGCATGTAGCCACACCTGCCCTGGTAAATTTCCACTCCTTACTAATCCCTGAGACCCCCCAACCCCCCTCTGACGTAGCAAAGACCCCTAAAACTATTTAAACCCACGAGATAGGATAATAAAGGCTTTTCGACCATCTGCCATATTGGTATCTGCGTGTGTTGACTAGCCCGAGTGGCTTGGGCGAGACCAGGCCGCCGTGCTGCCACCTGAACCAGGTCCCTGGTTGTCCTTTATAAAGGCAACAAATATGGGACAAGGGAACAGTAAAATACCCCTTAAGTTAATGTTTGAAAAAAGGCTGCGCAGCCCCATGCAGCCGCAGGCAGCATGCCTCTGCAGTTTTTAAAACTCGCGCGGCAGCGGCAGACGCGGCAGTGCCGGCTCGGAGGGAGCGGGGGGCTCTGCCTGCCCCTGCCCTTCGCAGCGGTGCGGGGCGGTTTCGGTTTCCCCGCGGTGGGAGGGGGAAGCGGAGGGGGCTCCGACCTACCCCAGTAGCGGCGGCTCCCGGTGGCGGCGGGGAGCACGGCTCGGGCTTCCCTGCCACGCGTGGGCACCGCTGGT